TTGGGGTCTCGTCGGAGGGCTCTCGGGGGCCTCTGAAGGGCATTTGTGCAGCCTCCTGGTCGCCTCTTGGGCGTCTCTTGGGGCCTCTCTGAGGTGGTGGTGGTCGGCTGTGGTTGTGGCGGTGGTGGTGGTGGTTGTGGCGGTGGTGGCGATGGTGCGGTGGTGGTGGTGGTGGTGGTGGTTGTGGCGGTGGTGGCGATAGTGGTGTGGTTGGTGGTGGTGGTGGTGGTTGTGGCGGTGGTGGCGATAGTGGTGTGGTTGGTGGTGGTGGTGGTGGTTGTGGCGGTGGTGGTGGTGGTGGTGGTGGTGGTTGTGTTGGTTGTGGTGGCAGATTGTGGTGGTGGTGGTGATGGTGGCGGTGGTGGTGGTGTGCGGTGGTTTCTGGTGGTGGTGGCGGTGGCGATGAGGGTGTGGTGGTTTGTCGTGGTGGTTGTGGTGGTGGTAGTGGTTGTGGTGGTGGTGGTGGGTTGTGGTGGTGGTGGTGGTGGTGGCGGTGGTGGTGATTGTGGTGGTGGCGGTGGTTTGTTGCGGTGGTGGTGGTTGTGGTGGGGGTTGTTGGTGGTGGTTTAATGGTGGTGGTGATGGTGGTGGTGGGGTGGTTTGTGGTGGTGGTGGTGGTGGGTTGTGGTGGTGGTGGTGGCGGTGGTGGTGGTTGTGGTGGTGGTGGTTTGTTGTTGTGGTAGTTGTGCTGGTTGTGTGGTGGTGGTGGTAATCGTCGCTGCGTCCCCGCCGTCGGCGCTGCTGGCCGCCACCAGCGCCGGCGCCGGCGGGGGGGGGGTTGGACACCCCCCTCTTGGGCTGCCTCTGGTCATCGTCGCTGCTGGCAGCCGTCAGCGCGGGCGCTGGCACCGGCGCCGAGGGGGGCGTTTCGACCCCCCCCCTCCCCTTGGGAGGGGGGAGAGTTCGGGAGGAGGGGGGTTAGGGGAGAGGGGAGTCCGCCGAATGTTTCCAAGGCAAGCGCCCGTGAAACGCGCTCTCTCCTACGATAACATCGCAGAACTGAGAGGAACAGAAGAGAGTGATCACAGGTAAATACCTGAGGGTAACGTAGAGCATCCTTGAAAAAACTTGGAAATCACGATTGACCTCGATGATCCCGTCCTGAGATCGAGTAGCTGGAAACGAAGGTATGCCTCACCAGCGCGGCGCTGATACTGTACCCAGCCTGGATGTAGTGCTTGACGTAGGGTCTCTGGGAAGAGGACAGCTCATGGCCGAACAATTTCTCGTCGCGCTCAGGATCAACGGGTAAAGCGTCGGCGTTGGACCATCATCCGTGCATCCACCTTCCGCGCAAAATCCTGCGACGAACGCTGTCAGTGTCGTACTTTGCCGATAGTGCTGCTGACAGCTGTGGAAGTTCACCGTCGTAGATGGTGTTAACTGGCGCTGCGCTGCTCGTCTGGACTGTTGCAGCTCAGCGACTGTTAACCGGTCTTCGTTCCATTCGCGTAATTTGTTGAATTGATCAGTCGGAAACAGATCGTGACTTGAGACCGTGAGCAGGGGCTCGCATGGTGCCATTGGTCGTTCTTGTGCCAAGGAGGCCGCCATTGGCCCAGTCTTCTGGATTTTCTTTTAACCCGTACGCCGAATTTAACACATTCGAAGTCTTGAGTGAATTTTTCGACCATGGTCCTCTCTCGCTTCGGGTCTCCTTCCATCCTTGAGTTTCGAAGGTAGTTCCCGGATGCTGTGGCAGTATTCCAGTGCAGATTGGCGCGGGGGTTTAACCACATGCTTGCATCTGAGGATCGGAGTTGGATCGATTTTCAGTCGCCGAGCGAATCCGTAATTCTTCTTACGCGGCTGCTGTGCGACGGCATGCACCGCTACATTCCGCAAGGCGTTTCTCTAGTCAATTCCCCGCGCCCGTGGCTGGACGCCCGGTGTGTGGAGCTAGTCCGGCAGAAGTTCAACGCCGCGGACACGGACGCCTATCCCGCGGTTGCGGTTGCGTGCAGCGGTGGGTTTTCTTGTTTGCGCAGTCTGCCTACGTAGCACGAGTCAGAATTCAACTAAGAAAGTTGAGACGTTGTTGTAAGAAGTTTCGGCGCCTGTCTGACCAGGTTTTGAATCGGATTTCCAAGCCAATGAGATCTGCTGCTAACAAGTCTAATGGGTCTTGGGCCATCAGCCGGGAAGCCAAGGCAGATCTTTTTGCTGATGCGTTTCAGGGTAGAAGGGGTCTGCCAGCGGCAGATCAGAAGAGGTTTCATTGCCCTGAAGCTTTTTTACCCCACCGGCCCACCCCATCGCCTGTTCTTTCCTACCTATCCGGCGCCGTACGCTGAAACGCTTAGTAGAGTTATTGCAGCCAGGCAGTGGTACGGGATCGAACTTGGTACCAGCCCGTGTCTCGAAGCAGTGCAGTGGATCCTTGGCAATGCCTCTTACAAAGCTTGCAAGACGCATCGTAGCTTGTCGCGGAAGGCAGCGGGCTGGGCGTAACCTGTGGATGCCCCCCCAAAGCAAGCGAGGCCTTTTGTCCGATCCAGTGACATATGGAAGCATGCAGCCAACGTCTCAAACGTCTACGGTCCTGGAGAGATGCTTGGCCGAGCTTTTTGTGCCTTGCTGAGAGAGTACTGGCGCCCTCGGCCGCCACCAGCTCGCTTACCGCAAAGCAATTGGAGCCCGCGACGCCATCATATTCTTCATGCTGAGCTGGCTTTCGGCTATGGCCAAAGGCGGTCGCATCGCATTGTATTGCTCGGACGTGTCCGGAGCCGTCCTTCGACAGAGTCGATTCTGGCCGCCTCATTTGAAGCTCCCTAACGCGAGGCGCGACCTGCATATCCTGGTTATGCTCGCGCCGCAGTCCGCGCGCGTCGCGGTGCAAAGACACGTTTCGAAACATCAGTGTGTGAGCGAATTGGTTTTCCAGAGCTTTGTGCTCGCTCTGGAATGCTCACTTTGCTGACGCTCACATCGCCATATGGATTTTCGATGCTGAAGAGTAGTACTTGCTGACGATTTGAATGATTTTCTAATGGATCTGACATACATGTCAGGCGAGGCGATTTCGGTCGTACAACGACGTACCAGGATAATTTGCACGAACGGGGCCGTGCAAGCAGCGTGGAATTCGATTACAGGAGGATCAGTCAGCAAATCGTGTCGCGTACGCGGGCCTCTGGCGAAAATGTCCGCATTTTGGGAGTAGATGTCGGCATTCAGCTTCTCGTGTAAGACGCCGCTCTTGAATGTTGCGCAGAAGCCAGCTGGCGCTTGCATGCTCTGCTGCGCGGTCGTAACTACCACACGGGTTCTGGATTAATTGTTGTATACAATGTGCATGTGTTCAGTTACTTCGAGTACCGCGATCCCGCGATTGTTCACGCGTCGACTTCCGTTTTGCACCCCATCGGCTCCCTTCAGATTCGGTTATGTTTTTTTTTCTTAGTTTCATGTTTTCAAATGTTGCGCCAGTGGCTGTTCGGAGAGTATCATTTTGCTGGGTACCATTCATAGAAAACTTCTCAGAGGGCCAGAGGCCTTCCGGACCTTCTGAGAAGGCCCGCCCCGTCTGGCTTCCCCCCAGGCTCGCTGCCAGTCTGTATTTTCCTTGCTCCTCCGGTGGACCGTGAGCTGGTCGGTCGATCCCCGTTTATGTCAGAGATCGTAGAGTGTCGCCAGCGCTAGCCGTGGTTCATTGTGCGAAATCTTGCACGTGCTAGATGGTGTCTGTCTTTGTATGTAGATTTAGCCCTTGTCTTAAGTTATGATTGTCTACTTCTTGTTCTGGTGAGCGTTGCCTGGAGAAGATGTGGTGAGAGTCATCTGCTGGTGCGAGGTCTATGGAAACATCCCCGATCTCCAGGAGGAGCTGGTGGCCCCCCTGGTGGTGACACCCCCTCCCAGACATCCGACGATGCGTTTTTCCCAGTACGCGGCCCCAGAGGTCTCGTTTCCTTCCCTGGGGGCAGTTCGTCTTGGACGCGCTTCCGATGGCCCGCGGGCACGACATCGGGCTCCAGAGGCCGAAATCGAGGAACAACTACGCAGAATTGAACTACCAGCCTCACGGCTGGCGCCGCCGACCATGAAGGGCGACGACGACGACGACGACGACGACGACGACGACGACGACGACAACGACGACGGTGGCGGCGACGACGACGCCGACGATGACGCTGACGTGGGTCAGAGTCCACAGGGATGTTTCTTGGGAGCTCTCTTCGGAGCGCTCTCTGGGGCCTCTGGGGGGCACTTTGGGGGCCTCTTGGGAACCACTTGGGGGGCCTCTCGGGAGCCTCTTGAGGGCCTCTTCGGGCTTCCTGGGGTCCTCTTGCGGCCTCTTGGGGCCTCGTGGGGGCGTCTTGGGGGCTTCTTAGGGCCTCTTGGAGGCTTCCTGGGGCCTCCTGGGAGCCTCCCGGGGCCGAGGGCTCAAAATGTCCGTTCGGATTCCCCATCTGGGCACCCTCTTGGAGCCGTCTTGGGACCCTCTTGGGCCGTATTATTGGAGACCTCTTGGGGCGTCTTGGCGCTTGGGTCGTTTGGGGGCCCTCTTGGAAACCTCTTGTGCCGTCTTGGGGCGATCTTGGGGGCGATCTTGGGTACTGGAGGACCCTTGGAGCGTCGGGAGGCCGAAAAGGCGGGAACACCAAAATCTGTCGAACACAGGGTATATCAATGAAGTATGCCTCTTGGGGCCCTCTTGGGAGGCGTCTTGGAGGCCTCCTGGACCGTCTTGGGCGCCTCTTGGGACACTCTCGGTCCGTCTTGGGACCTTGTTGGGCTCGGACCCCTCCCCCCCGAAGGGTGTTATTCTGACCCGGGGTTGTCCCCCCCGCAGGGAAGAGGTCAAATGGAAGGGGCCTCCTTTCAACTCAACTGCGACGTGGCTCAATTTTGCTCGAGCTGGCGCGCTTGAGAAGGAGGGCCCAGGGAAAGGGGGGAAGGAGCGGCGGCGGCGGCGGCGGCGGCGGCGGCGACGACGACGACGACGACGACGACGACGACGACGACGACGACGACGACGACGACGACGAGTCAAACGAACCAGCGTCTTGCACACGCCGACAGGGTCTGCGGATTTTTGTTTGCAGGTCACGGCTTGGGTGCGCGGGTTGGTCGGAGATCGGGCTCCTCTGCAGACAGCGCTGGTTCTTCGAGTCGAAATTTCGGCGCCCCATCGGCGATGGATCGAAGGATTGCAAAGAAAACCGAAGGATTGCAACAAAAACCCTTTTTGCAATCCTCTTTTGCAATCCTTTCTTGCAATCCTTTTTTGCAATCCTTCGAACACATGGCCCATAACTTGGGCTTCCAGCGGCCGTTCGGGACGATTCTGGCACCCCGGGAGCGCTGTCGCGGCGCGGGGCTGCCAGAGTGCACCCCGAGGGGAGGAGGCCTCCGGGAACCAGCGAGGGCCCCCGAAGCCTGCCCTCGGAGATCTGGCGTGGTGGCCCTTTCCTTGCCACTGCCTTGGCCATGATCGACTTCGAGGAGCTGGAGCAGGCCGAGGCGTGGCCGCCGGTCAGCTGGGCTCAGCTGCGGGCCACCGTGGAGGTCACGGCGCTGGCGCTGCCGGACATCAGAGGGGCAAGAGGCCACGATATCATGATACGTCCCAGGATTTCCAAGGTTTCCAGAGTTTCTCGTGCTTCCTGACGTTCCGCACCCACTGCGCCGCTAGATACAGTCGAGGCGGATTGGTAGGTCGACCCTGCCAAATCAAGGGTGCGTCCTGTGTTTGGCGACCCATGCCTTCTACATTCCTGTGGCAATGTGGCCCTCGGGAGGTTATTTTGTCCTCTCGCGTGTCCTCTCCTATCAACCTCGATTGTATTCTGGAAATCCTGGAACGCGTCCTGAGCCCATCTTATCATGACATCGTTCTCGCCCCAGGACAGGGCCTGCCACGCCCGCGGCCTGCTGCGGAAGTGGGGCTTCGAGGGTGCGGAGGTGTTCCTCGGCCTCTGGAAGGCTCGGGTCGCGCTGAGAGCTCAGAGGAGAGACCCTGAGATCTGGGCTCTGCCATTGCTTCACACCGGGCGCTTTCGCCTGGCTTCGGGCCCCGGGGCCATAGCATTTCGATCGGGCTCAGAAAAGGCTGCGGAAGCATGGGGTCTAGGGCTCGGGTTGTGATTTATCGCGATGCTGCAGTTTTTGCGCAACGTCGGATCTCAGGGGGGGAGAGATACCGATACCAGTGTCCTTTCCTGGAAGACCCTCGTCGCCACGGCTGGATCCGCCCCGAAGTCCTTGTCAGAACGCATGCTAGGAGAGGTTTGGGGAGCACCGGCATCGGTATCGGTATCGTTTCTTGCCCCCCCCAGAGAGAACACCCACCCAGACAAGCTGGCTGAAGGATTCTGCAGGGGTTCACTCGGCAGTTGCACTCGTGGTCCCTCGGTTTCGTTGCACGACGAGTGTCTTCCAGGTGGCGTGCGGCAGCTTTTGGAAGTTGATCAGTTGCTCCGCCCGGGGTGCACTCTGAATGCGGTGCCGCGCGCACTCGTTGAGCGCCCCCGCTCGCAAGACAGCTTCACTTACTTCTTGCGTTGCGCAGACTTGCACACTGCATGACAATTGTCTTGCCGTAGGTCGTAATGGATCCAGCGAGGTCAGTGTCTCTTACAGGGAGGCTTCCTGCGGGGGTATTGTCGCTGGGAAGAATGTGTTTTGCTTGCCAGAGCGGGATCCTCGAGAGGAGGACGTCGAGCTCGACGAGTGGGTCAGGGCAGGGCGCATCACCGAGAGCCGGAGCTCGGGGGGACATACGGACTATCAATGACATGCGAGTCGTCTCTCAAGGTGAGCGCGCTGCTCATTCGCTTTTTGCACTAACCATTTTCTTTGACTGCCCACAGCTTCTCCCGAAGGGTTCTAGATCATTCTCCGAATGCCCGGTGGTGGAGCCCGAGTCCCGAAATCGGTGGCCCATCGTGGTCCCCCGCATCGTGGTTGCGTAAAGCTGTTCAGAACCTTCTACTGCAAGGATGTCATGTTCTCAGACATCCGCCGATGTGTTTTTTCAATTCTCGCCCCCCGAGGTTCCGACCCAACACCCGCCCGAAATCTGGTGAAAAAATCCTGGGCCCTGAAAATCACATCGTCGGAGAGCTGGGTTCTCCACCGCGGCACGCCGATGGGGACGTCGGGCTGGCGTGGGACTTGAGATTGCCTTTGCCCGCCCGAAATTGGGCGGGGCCAGGACCAGGATAAATCGTTCCAGAGCGTTCCAGGACGCTGCGAGAAGGCAGCGGCGCCCGATGCATCCTCCAGAGCCGCCGGATCTCGGAAATCCCCGATTATCATCCCTGTCCGATTTTGTCCCTGTCCCGGCTTCGTCTTACGAGGAGCGTCACCTCTGGCAGGGTGGCGTGCCACTTCGGGCACAGGGCCATCCTGGAGGACTTCCTGCGCGGGCCGGAGCCCCGCAGGCCGTGGCTGCTCGTGTTCGAGGATGACCTCCTGGACGCCCCTGCGGAGCCGCTGCAGGCGGCGCTCCTCGGCTTTCTGGCAGAGGTCGCGATCGACGGGGGGGTTGTTTTTCTGGAGAAGGAAAGCCGCGCTCGGATTTCTTGGATCGGCGCTGCGCCCCCCTGGCGGTGCTTCAGGCGCCGCCCCTGGGGCGCTCCGCGCGCCAGGGAGGGGAGACCAGCGCCGATCCAAGACATGCGCGCGGAGCTCCGAAAGCTTATGTTTATGCCAGATGGGGTCGGAGGATCGCCCCGCATCACCGACGCACCGGCGATGCGGCTCGATCCGGAGCCCGATTTTCTCCACGCCGACGTCGCGGATGTACCGTCTATGCGGCGCGATCCTCTGACCCCATCCACTCGGACCCAGTTTAGGAGGCGTCCATTTGTCTATAGCCACCGCCCAGGGGATCGGTCTTGAGGGGCCTCGGCAGGCGGCGGACCCTGAGATCCGGGCGTTGCGTTGCATGTTACCTCACTGGGCGCCGTCGCCACTTTTTTGGGCGCCAGGGCTATCACAGCTCGATACGCGCTGGAAAAAAAACAACAGGGAGATGAGGTTTAGGGCTCTGGAGTTCTTCCACGAAAGTGCACATGTGAAGTAACTTCGGATCTCAGGGGATCAATACATGCAAACATACCTACATGTGCGTATAGTTGTATGTGTGGATGTACGTATGTACGTGCGTACGTACATACGTATGTATGTAGGTATGCATGTATGTGTGTATGTCTGTCTGTCTGTCTGTCTGTCTGTCTGTCTGTCTGTCTGTCTGTCTGTCTGTCTGTCTGTCTGTATGCCTGTTATTTGTGTATGCATGTATGTATGTATGTATGTATGTATGTATGTATGTACGTATGTATGTATGTATGTTTGTATGCATGTATATATATATATATGTATGGATGGATGGATGGATGCATGCATGCATGCATGGATGCATACGTGCAAGCATGCATTCATACATGCGGTCATGTACGAATGTATGCAGACACATGTATGTGGGTATGCTTGTATGTATGTATGCATACATGTATGTATTGATGTACATATGTATGTGTGTATGCATGTTTGTACGTATGTACGATTGTATGTCTGTACTTATGGATGTACGCATGCATGTATACACTTATGTATGTAGACATGTATGTGTGTATGCATGTATGTGCGTGTGTATGTATCTATGTATGTATGTACGTATGTATGTGCGCATGTATGCTTACATGTATGTGTATAGTTATGTACGTATGTAGGTCTGTGCCGAATTATTTGAATCTCATGGGGGGTACCGTGGTGCGTGCGTTTAGGGGGAGCGCTCCGATTTCGGCCAGATCTCGCGCCCCGTAGAAAGCACAAACCTTTGCGTGTCCCGCCTGCTCCATAGTGACCAGCGCTGGTGGCGAGAAGTTAGGCCCGCGCACACACATAGCTGTATTTCTCTCTCTCTCTCTCTCTCCCTCTCTCTGGAGGGGGATCCTTGTTGGAGGGGATCCCAAGATCTAGAGGGGATCCCAAGATCTACTTTTGGGGGGCCTTTCCAAAAGGTACTACGATACAGCATGTTGCATTATTCGTATGGTCACAGTTCGCATGCAACTTATGTTGTTTGCGGGTATGCGCTCCGACCCCTAATCCGATTGACATTGGTATGTTGGATGATAGCGGCACGCGGTGCCGACGACGATTTATGTGAGTGGCGACCGTGCGGCGACGACGCGAGCAATTTGATCGCATTTTTTATGCAGCGGGTGAAGGCCGCGCCAGCAAGCAAGCCTGACAGCAACACCAGTGCGGCAACGAGAGGACCTAATGCTTAGAGCTCAACTCAGCAAGTACCTCCCCAGTTTCCGACCACAATTTCTCAATATGTTTTAATTTGTACATTTGCCACACGAATTGTTTCGAACCGAAGAGAAGATGACAGACCTCAGGCGTGCGTGCTTGTACGTGGGACAATGTGCCCACCAGGGCGTGCGTTATTGCATATTATACCTTGTGGTATAGGTGGCATGCATAGTGCACATAGGCGCGCTCGCGCGCGTGTGTCTGCACGTTGCCTCTGCGGCTTAGCACGCAAGGGCACATCGGTAGCGACACGCCGAACAGTAGCGCGCGCACTCCGAGCGACAACATCGCAAGACGAGCTCGTTGTGTTATGGTTCGGTGCATCTAATACTTGATGACAACCCTGTGGTAAATGTAGCATGCGTAGTGCACCTTTGTGTGACCGTGCGCGTGTGCATTCGCACCTGTCGCTCCTTCAGTCGAGTACACAAGAACACATCCATACATGGTGGCACGCACAACAGCAACGCATCCGAACTCTTTTTTGTGAGTTGCGCTCGGAAGCGGAACGCTCGGGAGATGCATCTGTTTTGTCGGAGGTGCAATCATGGGAAGTTTCCTTCCAGATCGCTTCAACCTCTGCTGAATTATGGTGCCCGCGCGAACTCACCACGACCTCGCGCATCCCGTGCCTACTCACGCCCGTGCTGTGGTATGAACCCGTGGCCACCGCCGCCGTCCTCGACGCGCGCGTCCTTCTCGACATCTCGACTGAAAGCTGAGCGTGCGAAAAAGTTGCGCTATAAGAGAAATGTCGCGGCCAAAATGCGCAGTAACACCACGAAAAGGGCGATTGTTCCGCTCACTTCTGGGCCTCGACACCCACTCTTGCGCCCCCTCTCGAGATGCGTTGGCATCGAGCCCCCGGTTCCGAGAGTGTCGCTCACGTCTTTTGTTCTCTTTTCACGGCGAGCTTCCAGCACCTCTTCGAGGGCCCGCTCCTTGGGACGGCGTCCCTTTGGAGCCATTGCGCAAAACAATGCATGGCAGACTAATGCCTCTCCGCCGTGAGCCAAAACGGCTACGGAATCATTCGACGCCACTGTGCTGCAAAAGCTAAATCAATGAAAACATCCAGGGGGGATGCCCCCATGAGCGGCCAGCAGCTTCCGCTAACCTGTGAGGCCCATTAGGGCGTTCACATAGTTGACGACGAATGGGGTCACCAGTGACGGCGCTCGTCTTCTCTGCTTCCTCTCCTTCACCATGCTCGCCATCCCCTTTCCGTTCCATCCCGACAGAATCGCCGCACCCATCACCACCATCACTTCTATGGCCACCTTCGTCTGTCTAATACGAAGATCCACTTTCATCACCATCGACTTCGTCGCACTGGTTCGCATAGATATTCAAACGCGCACCAAATTTGCAAACAAAAATTGACAAGTGACGGCGTCAAACGAATTGTTCAGCTCTTCAGCTGCCCTGCGAAAACCACGCCACATCTGAAAGCCTCCCGGAGACCGGAGAAAGAAAGAGAGAGAAAGAGAGAGAGAGAGAAACAAACAACAACAAAAAAAGCACGCGACATTTCATCGATTTTCAAAAGTATAGTCAGAAAATCGGAAGAGGGAAAAAGTGCCCCCCCGAGCGTGGCCCTTGGAATTCCAGACCCACGCCTCGCGGCAGTGGGCAGAAAATCCAAAGACCACGCTCGGGGGAACATTTTTCTCATCGATTGGATCGTTTGCGAGGTGCCCTGAGACCGCCTAGATATCTTCAGACGTCAGAAGAGCCCCTTGAAAATGCTCCCCGAGCGTGATCCTTGAAATTCCAGACCCAGTGGGCTGGAACTCCAGAAACTATTCTCGGGGGGCGTCTTTTCTTATCGATTGGGCGGTTTGTGAGGAAGCCCCAAATCGCCAAAATGCTTTCAGAAAGTCTGAAGAGCCCCAGAAATGCCCCCCCGAGCGTGGTCCTTGAACTTCGAAATTCAAGGACCACGCGGGGAGGCATTGGCTTGTGTTCATCTCGAATTCCTCTTGGGTTCCTACTTCCACGAGAAATTCTCCGAGCGAGAGCCCCGATAAGGCTGCAAAGCCAGAAACAACGAAACAAACAAACGCAAACAAATAAGGGAAAGCACAGAACACAAGTAAGGGAATCCTGTGTGGTCACAGTGTGGAAGCATGCCAGTTTTGACGCAGCAAGTTTAGCAAGTGGGCAAGCACTCCGTTTCATGTTGGCTCGAGCCTAAAAAGCATATCGGGGGACCGCGTTTGGTAGCGGAGCGGGTTCCTCCCGCCGAGCGGCCAGTGGGTGCTTGGGCGAGACGCTGCAGCGGCGGCTCGCCTCCCGGCCCCGAGGACCCGTCTCCCAGGCCCGACTGGCGCGGCGTCCACGGCGTGCCGGAGGAGGGCGACGGCGGCGACAAAGGCGCGTCGCCGGCGGCCCTTCCAGGAGCGACTCCGACGGCAGCGGCCGCCGACGGCGGGGCTCACTGCTGAGCAGCTGGCAGAGCTGGCGAGGAAGGTAGTCCACGAGACTGCAGGGGCGCCAGCGGAGCCGGTGACAGCGGCAGCCCCGAAGGTAGAGACAGCAGTAGCAGACGGCGAACTCGACCCCCGGCATCAAGGTCACGACCCATGGAAGAGGAACGTCGTCGGCGGCACCGCCGACGACCAGGCGGCAGCTCACGTGGCGGATGCCAAGGGCGATAAGTTCAAGAAGTGGAAGGGCGGCTCGTGGCAGGAGTCCAACAAGTACGGCTTGTCTAGTAGTGGCGATCATTCCTGGCGGAGAGATGACTGGTACCAGACCTCCTGGTCGGACGGCGGCCGCGGGGATTTCTGAGACCCCCCCCCCCTCGCCGGGGCGGAACCGCCATCGTCAGCGGGGGAGGGCGCTGCGACGCCTGGGCGCGAATGCCGACGTGGCGGCGCGGCGCCGGCCAGAAAAGTTGCTCGAGCTCTTCGATTGGAACATGCAGGCCCGTTTCGAATACATCAGTGAGAACGCGCTGGCGAGCAGGGGTTGGATCGACGCCGTCCTACAGAGGACGGACATGATGATCGGCGAGAGGGAAGGGCGCGACCTTCGACGGGCAGGCCGCAGGGCCCTGGGCCCTGTGCCAGATGGACGCGACGGGCTCTGCGCGGTTGCTTCCAGGTAGGATGCTGGTTGGCTCAATGCTTGCTGCCCTTGGCGCTGCGGACGAGGGTCTGGGCCAAGTAGATCAGTGCCCCCCTCCTCCTCCTCCT